CTGTGCAATCTGTGTTTGAAAAGTGTCGTTTTGTTAGTGATACACATGTACAAGCACTTTTTCAGAGCCGAGAGTCTTCTCACTCTCTTTCTTTATGTCTTTCTCGTGGGAGAAAGATTATCAGTGGGTGGTTGGCGGGTGCTCTGGTGTGGTTTGCTCCTTCTTTCCTATCGAACATCTATCATTCTTATCTCCCCTTCTTCTTTTTTATGTTTGTTACTCTCTTACCTGTAACACCTCTAATCTTCTGGCGCTCATATGACCTTATGCAGTTGCGAGCGCCGTAAAACCTCTACTAAAACTAAAAAAAGAAAGATTATCATGCAGCCAACCAGTTGGCGTTGTGTTCCGTGTATAGTGTGTACCTCTGGCGGTTAGTTCACTGGTGATATGGCGAGACAAATTTACATTAGATAAATGGTCGCTTTTAAGGACAAGCGAGCTGACCCATATTTATGGGGTTTCCAGAAATCTTGACCTGCACCAAAAGTGGGTATTGCCCTACCTATAGGAGAAGTTTGGTTTTATTGGTGTGTATATTTGTTTAAATTAATTAAATTTAATCTTATTTATTATAAGAGAAATGGCGAGAGCTGGTTTTCAGATGCAGTGGTTCCCCCCACGGTTGACCCAACCACGGGATAGAAGAAGAAGAATATTTGTTTGGTTATAGAGAAAACTCTCCTTGTCTTTTAAAGAAACAGAACAAGGGGCAAAAGCTTTATCTTCGATTTTCTCAAAACAGCATTTTTCGGGATAGCACCCTTGTACATATACTTAAAAGTGACCAAATTATAAGGGCCGTACAACTCAGACAGTTAGCGGATGGCGGTGGGAAGGCGTAAATACTATGTTAATAAAGGCACTCCTTAAAATTGGTAAGCGGGGCTGGTGGTATAACGGGGGGCGGTGCAACGAGGTTTGACCGTACATTATACATTCGTAGTCTGACAAAGAACACATAAAAAAAAATAAAAAAATCAACAAAAAAATCACTGTGGCTACTGATCACGCTTGCTGTTGGAAGATAAATCAAACCAGTTAGTAAAATGGGATTTAAATGAATTAAATGTGTTTTTTGACCAGATTTAAGTGCGGTCAAAAAGGCGCCTCTCTTTAATGCTGTGGGAGGGAATTCCACTCATAGGGAGAAGCTGTTGTTGTAAAAGCTCTACCTCCAATGTTTTTAGTTTTACAAGTCTTGACTTGTTTTTAAAAAAAATGAATGGATCGTAAGTTTCTGGATAGATGGAATATACTCTCGTAATCATCATGTGTATATTACGTGAAAGCAGTCAGGAAGTATGCGATTGTTTGTGTACAAGTACAAGTGTGTGTGTGTGTGTGTGTGTGTGTGCATAGTTTAAAGTAAGAATGCGAATCATGCTGTCATTATGTATGATTATGTCGTGCATACTGTCAATAAAGTGTCATAAATAATAAAGTTCCATCACCTCATGTTTGGGTCTCCTCTGTACCCACAGTTGTAATGCTGTTGTCGTAATCGAAATACCCCCCAAAAAATAGTGGGTGGTTGGCGGGTGCTCTGGTGTGGTTTGCTTCTTCTTTCCTATCAAACATCTATCGTCCTTATCTCCCCTCCTTTTTATGTTTGTTACTCTCTTGTAACACCTCTAATTTTTTGGCGCTCATATGACCTTATGCTGTTGCGAGCGCCGCAAAACCTCTACTAAAACTAAAACTTCAAACAAATTAGCCCTTTTTGGCCTTCTGTGAAGTAAGCTGACTTTGCACGTCTCCTCTGGGGGCTCTCGTGGTCTTGAGGATACAGTGTTTGCCTCTCATTCAATAGGTACCGGGTTCGAAACCTGGCAGCAACGGGAAATTCTTATTCTCTAAAATATTTTCCCTTTACCTCCTTTCCTGCTCTCTAACCATTATTTTTCTGTCGTCTGCTTTTGTCTCCACTTTCTGTCCTCAACCCCCCCCCCCCCCTCCTTTGCCCCTCCTCTGGGCTCCCGACTCTTTCTGCTGCAGCCTTTCTACTGCTACTCCTTGGCTCCTTTCTGCTGTCTTTCAGCCACACCCCTGATCTCAGGGTAGGCAAGATCACGCACCTAGCCTTCTCGGATAGGGGCAAAAAAATGTCGGAACAAGTCTAGCTTTGATCTGTACCCTATCAGACTCCGTGAAATTTAAAAGTGCTTTCACTTTTACAGAAATAAAAATGAAATAAAGAATACCAGAATGGCCGAAATCCCGAGAATGAAGTTCTTGATTAACGATTGAAGAGTTTATGTTTTTAAAATATTTTTTGTTAAAACAAGGCAAAACTTTTGTAGGTTATGACATATTGAGGGTAATCATTATTCTGATTCCCTTGTAAAGCTATCGTGCTCTTCCAGTCAAACCAGGGAATAAAAAAACAATCCAAAACAAAACAAACGAAACGGAGTAAAAAAGCCAAATGAAAAACGAGGAATTTAAATAACGGAAACAAACTCACAAAATCAAGGGAAGAAAAACATTGTAAACACGGATATGTATAATTTACCAATAAACGTCATATTAGTCGTAAAGTGAAGTAACATGACGTTTAATTATTAATTTAAAAACATTTACCTGTGTGTTTACACTGAGACTAGCAGCTAATTTCAATCAAAAAAAGGGGGAGGGGGGGGGGGGAAGAGACGGGATATGGACAAGTACTATCTTACCATAGCTATAATAATAATATGCAGTATGTAGTCACATCCTGAATTCAAATTCTGATACAATATATAATAACTAGATTTTCACCAAGAATGGATTGAAACGAGTTTTGAATAATCTTAATGATTTATTAAACATTCGTCAGCTTCCAGTTACTGTCTTCCTGCGGCAGCTATGTTCTGCGTAATTGTGGAGACAACAGTATCAAACTCGAACACCGCAGCAACAGTCTCATCATGATACGCGAAGCCCATTGAGGAATCGGTTCTCTACTAATACGGGGTGCCCTTACGGATGGGATCGGCGGGTCGGGCCGATCGCCCGACTCGGTCGGCTAAAAAACAAACGTGTTTGTTTTCAGTTTCAGGCGACCGAGTCGGGTGATCGGCCCGATCCAGCCGTAATGGGCACCTCATATAACACAAACTGATCGCCCGACTCGCGGCCTTGAAAACAAACGCGTTTGTTTTTTAAGGTCATCGTTGGCTTCGTTCGGTTTGTTCCACGATGGTCGCTTTTCGCCCTCAATCAGGTTAGCCCCGCCTACCAAAACCGAACTGACCGATTCGAACCGATCGTACCAATGGACACTGGGTTAGGAAGAGCAGCGTCATTAATACTAGATAATACAGGGGGATTTTAAAAAACCCAACTGATTTCATTAAGCAATGTTTTATTGAGGAAAAGCAATAAAAAACAACAACAAACAAATAACTCAAGCCAGGTCACATGTATTGTACATGTACTCATAATCAACTTTTATTTCCAGTCAGACATGTGTTCAATGTGACCACCACCAGCAGCATGGGCAATTTTAATATTATTATTAATATCGTCAGTGCGATGCAAGAATTTCGTCCCAGACGCGTTTCAGCTTATTATCAGCACGGTCCACGGAGTTGATCGCCATTGACATTATGTTTAAGGTCATCGATGTTAGTGGGTAGAGGTGGAACATATTTAAAAGCGATCTTTTGCATATCCCCATATGAAAATAACACAGACAATGAGGTTTGATGATCTGACAGGCCAATCACAGAGAGTAACTCGAGGTCTTGAGCCTTTTCCGACCAATCCATCGCTAAGACACTTTTTGCTTTTCATTTTAAAAAAGCTCGAACCATCAGATGCCAATGAGGCGGTACTGCACCTGTTGAAAAATGAAGTTATGCGAATCTGCTTGCAGTTGCAGTGATGTGAAGAGCCAGTTTTGGAACATATCGAGATAGAGGTTTGCCCTGTAACGGTATTTTCTTCAAAGGAAAAACGACGCGACAACAACACTCCTTTTGACAGCTATTCATTTCAAATGGTCACTAACTCATTCCATAACGATGCATGAGAACTGCGTGATGCAAAGGTCATAAAATCGGTTCATTCTTTTTAAAAAATCACTCTGTATATCCGGAGCCGAGTGATATATTGTAGTAACTCAAACTTTCGAGTCTTGTGAGTTTTTGCCACAGTTGTCAAGGCTTTTGAAAACTATTCTGCTTAGTTTTAGTACATAAGAGTTTTACGTCACTTGCAACACAATTTGGTCACATGAGTGCCGAAGATTAGAAGTGTTCTAACAGAGTAACAAACACAAAAAAGAAGGAGGAGAGATCAGGACGATAGGAGCTTGATAGGGAAGAAGGAGCAAACCACCCACAAAAATAATTATTCTTTTTGACCCTAAAATGATAAAGATTCATGCCCATCTTCAGTAGAATTTCGGTTTAATTTTTGCACCAACTCCCGTTTCCTCTTTGCGACTGTTAGTGTTTTTAAAGTGACTTATGACAAAATTTACCCCCCCCCCACAAAAACAAACAACAACACAGAAACAAACAACCAACAACAACCAAACAACAAAAAAACAAAACAAATAACCAACCTCCACCCCCTCCCAAAAAAAAAGCAACAAGAACAAAACAACAAACGACAACGACCCCAGATTCGGTACAAGAAGGTACCAATGCACAAGTGTCCCACTTTCACTATTATTACATTTCGCAGTCACTCTCAGCACACAAAAACAAATCCATCTACAATCACGAGCCCGGAATATCAAGATTCCAACTCCTAATGTTTTCTGTTTGGAATCAGAATGTCTCGCGCATCTCCCCTCGTATAGTCCATCTGCATCATAATAATGTAAAAGTTGGAACTTCTTGTCCCTTATTTTCTGAGATAAAACCATATCATTATTTTGTTTTTCATGACAAGGAGACATGGTGTATGGCAGCTTTGAACTCATCTAAAAAAACAAAACAGAAACAAAAAAACAACACAACAACAAACAAAACAAAACAAAACAAAACGAAAAAAACCAACAAAAAACAAAAACCACCCAGAATGTATTTGAGAACGAATCTTGTTGTTCTGGGCTTGCGCACTGCTTAAATTATATTCGAAAGGCCGTATTTGATTGCGGTGCGGTGAAGCTCTGGCGTTCCCAGCAACCCTCGTCCCTCCATGTAGCCCCGGCCACAGCTGTCTGGCACTTCCGGGAACTTCATGGCCGCCTCGAAGCAGCTGGAGGAGAAGAAGGACCTGAGGTCAGTGCTGGCAATGTTCTCCAGGAAGCGACGGAGGGGCAAGATGTGGCTGTGCTGGGACATCCAGAAGGCCGTGAAATCCTCCACGATGTGGTGAAGGGCGTCAGGCCTGGGCAGCGTGTCTTTGGCGCCTCGAGACTTCATCATGGATTCTGGGAAGAGTAGATGGGCTTTGTTTTAACAAACCTAAGGTCGGAATTGTCAAAGACGGTCATTTATTGTTGAAGGGAAAAGTTGTCGTTGTCTTTGACAGGTGGGGTGAAATTAAAGGGCTTTGTTAAAAGTTAAGTAAAACCCATGGAAGAAAAATCACTGCATGCGAGATGAATAAATGTCTCCTCAATTATTATAGTTTAACATAGATAGATAGCTAGCTGGCTAGTAGCTAGCTAGGTAGATTGATAAATAGATGGGCAGACAAATAGATAGACGCATGTTATTACAGAGAGATGGATAAATAAATAGATCGCTAAATAGATGGATATAATATTATAGAAAGATACCTTGTTGATACATTGGTTAACAGGTAGTATAGTATCAACAGATCAATATTTTTGTATTTGATCGTAAAAATTTGTTTGCTATAAGCTAAAAATTCCTTACGTTTCATAAAATTTTGTTTTCAGATGCCATCCTCTCAATTCTACAACTCTAATCTCGTTCGATCCCTTAACCCTCTCCGTCCACCTTGGGGTCATTTTGTACCCCCAGGGTTATATTCGTCACATTTTAGAATACTTCTAGAGCAAAGATCTTTTTTAAAACGTTCAGTATTTCTAAGAAAAAATCATTTAGACAGACTGCTAATGCTATACATAGCGTACGGATCGGATTAACGAATAAATTTCCTCTTTAGAAAGTGGTGGCACAGAGTTCCCCACGTCGTATGGATATGATAGTAACACAAGACGTACGGATAGGGTTTAAGTCTTACCTGTTGGTAGTGACGAGTAGTAATAAAGGACAGGGTGCAGGAAATTGGACTCGTGGGCCTCGTACGGTTCTCCTACTGCGCGGTCACTACGAAAGATGTCATTACCAGGTCCCGAGAAGTTCTTTCCGTACTCCATAACAATGACCAGTACTTCGGAGGCCGGGATCCCAGTTCGTTGTGTGAGCTCGTGCAGTAAGTGGATGGGGAACTCCTCGATGTACTGAGCTGACTGGCCGTCTCTGGGGAATACCGGGGTGGGGG